GTGGTCATGAACAGCATGTTTTGAAAGGATTGTAAGTAGTCGTTAAAACATCAGTAAGATTATGAGAATCGAATGCGTTCTGTCTGCATTAACTGGGATTGCATTACAATGAAGAAATAAACCTTTATTCCATAGTATAAGGCTCTATATAACAAGGGACAGCCTTACCATTGTTGTCTTCTATCTGGTTGTTCAAGTTGTGGATGTCAAAAATATATACAAAGAGATTAGGGTATTCTGAAGGCTGTAAAGACTTTATTTTCTTGTTATTTATTATGAATCCTCTGCTCTGAGTGGTTTGCTAATCATATAAACCTTTTGCTCAGAAACATTGACTTCTACCACTGTACAAATTGTCAAACTCTATCCAGGAAATCTTTTCTACTATTTCCAGGAAATATTTCTACTAACGAATGCACAAACTGACCAACATCTGCTGTAAAAAGACAGCGATGGCGTTATTTTGTGACAGTAACTGTCAACAAATAATGCGATCGCTGTAACTGTCAAAAAATAATGCCATCTCTGTCTTTTTACAGCAGATGTTTAGGAACATACGAACCAAAAAAATAAAAGATGTTACATGTTTGATCAAAAGATGAAAATAGTGTATATATTAAATACCAAAAAATAATTGTATTACATTAACTGCCACATGTGAAAATATTGAGAATAACATGTTTTCAAAACTGATAGATAAAAAGTTTGTTATATGGAATTCCCCATTCGATTTGCAGTTTAATCCAACTCTTGCAAACCAGACGAGATCGTAGGACCTATGACCATTGTTCAGCTTGTCACATACAATATGGGCGCCACAGATATCTTTACAAAAACTTTAATAAGGCCAAGAAAACACGTTGGATGAGGAGATTGAGCAATCGGTGTGCGTGGCTTCCCTTCCCATTAAAGCGTCTCCAGTAGGGTTTCAGCTTCGCACCCCGTGGTGAAGCCCTCCACTATCTGTCACTTCCATTTAGTCCGCCACAAGCAATCTCTAAAAAGCAATGTTTTCAACCAAGACCGGATTTTAATGTCATATTTTTTGCAATCGTCCATACGTGGGCCCAAGAGTTTGAAAACTATTGGTTAATGCTATTTTTGCCATCATGTTCACGTTGTCCATGTACGATCTAGAGGGAATATTCATTACTATCAAATTAATCCAAAATCTTCTGAAAATGTGTCAATGAGGACATACATTGCCATCAAACTTGCATCAATAAGGAAAGCTATCTGCATATTCTACTCATGCTGAAACGGTCGCAGACAATGACCAAAAGGAAAGTATTAATTTCGTTGGCGTGAATAATGTTTGTAAAATGACAACTCACACACACCACTACCTTCAAGACCTGTTTCACGTGTGTGGGAGAGGGCGTGTGTCTTGGAGATTGTTGCTTGTTCAATGAAAATCCCCTTTACATCCATAATGTAAAATTATCGTTTCACTTACAAGACCCAGATCATTTGCGATTCCAAACGTTTTATGAGCTTCATAACTGGGAACGATGCAATTCCCACCATAATTGTTACTTGTTTTGTTTTGATAAAATAGGTTAACACAGAACCACAAATTTCGAGTACAGTGTTATTCAACAAACGAATTGTCTTTAAACTGCTACTGTCAAGTTCTTTTAAGAGGTCCTGCTCTCAGTGACAGTCGCCCCTGTTTGCTGGAATAAACCTCTGATTTATTGAGGACTAACAATGTCTAACGTGTTAATGAAACATTATCCCTCCAGCGAATCAAGTTTCCCGCAACCTGTTAGCGAGAGTGGTAAACTGACAATAACAGACAATCTACGAAGAATTACGGAGTACCTTGCTCGGTACGACCAGAGCAGTGTATATTGGGGATGTATTAGATCCCCCGGGTGAGGTAATATGAATACACAAATGGCATGTTACTTGTCTTGTTAACCCCTGAGATGTGGACTCTTTCAATGTAAAAATTCCATTTAATACACATTATTGCCATTTAGCAAATTAGTTTCACCACAATGGATAAATCGTAGAAAATAGAACAAGTTGTATTTCATTCAGAGTTATGTCAAGCTTCGATGTATCGAACATATGCTTGTCTCGACATCAATGCTTGGTAACTGCTTAATCCTTATTAAGTTATCATGTTGAGGCTGTGTCGAAAATCGCAGAATTTCTGCGTTGGTCACTCAGACTTAGAACAACGTTTTATGATTGCATTATGTGTTGTTGCCTGCAATAATCTTGTTAAAAAACAACAGCAAAAAAGAAAACAAAAAATGCGAAATTTTACTTATCATCCAGAAATGGCATCCACAAGATATATCAGGAAGGTGGTGAGATCAGGCATTCTCTCATGGGAGAGCGATGTACTGAAAATGTATCAGAATGCTTTGCAGACATTGTAACGTCATTCTTACGTCAAACTGAAATGCCATCACTAATCTCTCTGTGATCGAAGCTTGTTGCCGGTACGTTTTAAACAAAAGACGATGTTCATTACTATTTACAGACTCTCACCCGAGTGTCTGATATCAAATATGTTAACACAAGATGAGGGTTTAAAACTCATCGTATGCCTTGAAGTTTTATACCAACAGACACTCTGGGGAGATGTTCTTAGACAACTGCAGTAATGTCTCATCACAGTTCCAAGCTTTATTCCAGACTTACGCGTTTTCAAGAACACAAGAACGAGGCAACTTTAAAGTACGTGAATTGAAAAACTAAACGTTGCTGTCACCTTACGCCCAGTCAGACTTTTCTACACAGCAAGAAAAACAGCCTTTGTGCTGACCTTCCAAGGGTTGTGTTTTATAGGTGTCGTTTTCTTCCTAACCTTTAGGAATTCAGAAAAGTTAGAAAAAGATTATCGTTCCACATCTGCCATTTTAACACAGGAACACGTTCAATTGCAGCGAACTAAAAGCATGATCGACAGCCTCTCCGACTTGCAAGCCAGCGTGGCTTCCCCTTGAAGAGATCCTTCACTGACACAAAGCTCTCGAGCACTCTTGTGCAGCAAAAAATAACATCGATCTTTATACTGTTGTAACATTTTGTTGATTTAAGATGAAATTGATACACCGAGTACACGTTACATTGTGTTAGTAGTTACGGATTGACACACTGCTTGATTCTTGTCTCTCTTCCATATCAGATTAAATAGATTTCTATTGATTTCCGGGGAAATATGTTTTGAAAGCTTCGGACATGTTGTGTGTCACGTTGATACGCTCCAGATTCTCCGTAAAGGCTGTAATCTTTATACGAATATGATTTCATTATGCCTTTCTTTTGAAATGCCAAATCAGGCTAGCGCCCCCCTTGTGAAGGGATAGTGTCACTGTCGTTTATAAGCATGATCACAAACGTCAATTCAGGGAATAACCAGTCTCCATTACCCACCGATAACCGAGATAACCATCTGTATAATCAAAAGTCCATTTGCGGATGTCAAACGAAACTGTTCTCCTGGGAGGTTTGTTTTTCTGTAATATTCTCTTGAATACAATTTACACTATAATTATTGAAATAACTCGCTGGTACTTGTTTCAATAATTACTTACACAGATACCTATATACTTACGACTTTATAAATTAATTCACAAATTAATCCTCACCTGTCGATAACTTAATATTTACATATATTCACTGTAGAGTGTATCTATGAATTTATGTATGGAATACTCATAGCATAAATAAAACCGTCAGAAGGTAACCAATCTCAGAAACAGATGGAGAGTTGTTATATGGCAAAATAACAGTAAAAAGTATATTATGGACCACCTAAACTCTCTACCAACCGCCTCGTTTTAATGAATCTCTTATTCCTGCTTCAGTATCTCCAGCTGTGTTGATTAGCCTGACTGCTAATAAAGCAGAAATATAATTATACGTCAGGCCCGGTAAGGTTGCTCCAGATTAATGGATTTAGGGAGTACAATCACGCACTGGATTTAAATAGTATTACAATGGTTTCTTATAATCATTAGTATTTATTAATGTCGTTGCTAACCCGTAAAGAACCGGGTAAGAATTGATCTTCAGCAAACCATGCTTGACGGAGGCAACAGATGTGATGGTTAGACTCGCTTAGTGTCACACAGGTCATCGTTTCCAAGCTTTCATGCTCAAGCTCATGATGTCATTCACTTGTTGCCTGGCCCAGATTCGCATATTTACAGACCGCTATTACATGACTCGATAGTTGCTGAGAGAAGCATTACTTTTTCAGTGATGGTTGTCTGACGGTTGTTGTCCTTCTGCTAGCGCCAAACCCCAGAAAAACTCCCAGAGAGATGAGTCAATGCACCTCGAGAACCAGCTGATGTAGTATACGTGGGCATAGTGATTCATTTGAACCTGGTGCGCGTGGTATTGAATGTGCCCAAGCATTTTGTAGTTGTGAAAAACAGTGGTGTGTGACTCTGTGTAAAAGGTTTGTTAGACGAAACGAGCCAGGCATAACGTATTTGCAACCGATCTTGTTTTGGGTGGATCCTTTGAAAGGTAAAGTTGTGTGGTCTTGATTTAGCAAAATATGCAGATAATTTCAACTTTATTTACGGTCATTATTCACAATTGTACTAAATGTCGCATTGGATGGTGTTGTAGTTGCTAAATATATGCTGTTGATTTGTAGATAAGTGAGAGTAGTTGCGTTGTGCTGAGGAAACGCTTTGACGTGTATGTGGTAATGAGGAGTGCAGGTCTAAGATGTTGACAACGTTGGTGAATACAACGTGAAGTATAACCTTGCAAACAAACCCATGGTTACAATCAGGACTTATCTTGTTCTTGAACCTATGATCCTGGCATTCCTTAAACATGACGAATGTCGACGGCTATGATTTGGCTCTGGCTCAGTATGTGAAACGGTGCTTGCAGTTCGAGCAATTTACGGCGATTTATCTATATTGTGAATTGGTATCATCTTATGATGTCATTTAATTAATCTTGGCACAGTTCATCTAGTATTAGTATTTCATTTTCACTTTGTTGTTTTTTTCCAGGGTCTCCATCAGTTGGCATCCAAGGAATGTGCGGCATGATTTCATCGAGTTTTATTCTTTTACTTGGATCTGTTTTGACGTTTGCCGAGGATGCAGGTATGACACAATATGCTCAACCGTCTTTGTTTGTGCATGGCCAAAAGTTCTTGCATTAATGAAAATACACAACTAACTTATATTCTATTCAGTCTGTATTCTATTACATACAACGCCAAATTTCAATGATTAGTACTTGTTTATATCCCAACTGTATGCCTTTCTGTTGGTTCAGCTTGGTTCACTAAAATTATCAATTAAATGCTTCGTGAAGATGATACACATGATGACCAAAAGCTGAACGGATGGATGATAAATGACATGTTCATGTTGTGCTATGTTTGTTGATTGCGGTACTTGATTGACCCGTGCTATCTCTTCTCCTTTCTATTTCTAGAACGACACTTGGTCTGATCGATATGTCAAAAGAACTTAAAAGTCTAAGATCTTTGTTTCATTCAAGATATAACGTCAGCATCAGAAAAACAACCAGGCTTGATTGTCCTACGAAAACTACATTTTTCTGTAAATGCAATCTTCATTCTATTTAACAAGACTGATGTATTTCAGTTGATCTACTTTAACGGTTCAAATAAAGAACTACATAGCGTTGTTTACAAAGAAAAATATTCTCTTTTAAATTGTTTTTGTTTATAATACCGAGTACCATGAACCCAACAAACACAGTTTTATGCATTACAATACAATCTATCCAATAAAGGCATTTTTTCAGTCTTTGTATTTTCTTGGAATGTTGTAACTTGTCTCTTGAGTATGTAATTATCTCCATTATATGTTTTTATCCAAGTAAGAAAGAGATCAGTTCTTCTTTTGTGATCATATTGTGTATGTGTTTATGGCTGACTCAAAAGCATGAAGTATCTGTTACGCTAAAGGGTATTGTAATTGTACACAATCGAAAATATTATTTTGTCACAGATATTTCATGAAAACTAATACATTTCAGGTGAAGGCATCAGGTTTTGTCATAAATTTAAACAAAGCACTTTAATCAGATTCTGTGTTGGACCTAAAAAATATTTAAAGAACTTTCCTGAAATAATCATAGACGTTGCTAAAAGAGGAGTACTTATTCCATTGATGTTGTGTTAAAACTAGGGGAGAAAATTCATGAATGCATTATCCACGAGATCTATTGTTGGAGGATATTGGGGGGCAAACATTCCAAAATGGCGTTTGTCTTTGGTTACATGACCAGACTAAGTTGTCTTTTGATCTTCTGTCCGAAAACAAGCAGATCAGTGGTTTAAACCATATTCCCTGATAACAAACTCTAAAATACGGCACGTTTTGTTTACCTGTATGGTGCGCGACCTTGAGGGTGATAAACAGGGAGTCCGTATAGTGTTTATGTGTGATGGATTCATGCTGAACTGCGACTCGGTATCTTCTTGGACAAGAACGTTTATGGTACATCTTCACTAATGTGCAAATTATAGTTGTGCACACATATTTACACGTCGATATTTCTAAGCGGAATAGTATTGAACATGATGTTAAACCCCATTGTAATTTTATAACTGTTACACCTACACTTGATGTAGTGCATGACTGGTTGTTCTATTGTGTTGTCTGATTGCTACTTTTCACCATCCAGGTGCCGACTCTCCGCCAATGCATGATTCTGGCCTGCTCTCGCCGCCGCCGCCGCCGCATTCTGCTGCGCTGCAACAAGGGGATGTAGTCAACCCTCCGCCTGACGGGCTAGCGCGCGATGCTTACATGTTGTCGGATGACCAGGGCCTAGAGCGCCTGCTCAGCAGTGATTCCTCTAATGCGGACTCTAGCCAGCCTTATACACAACTTCTTGATGATGAACTGCTACAGAGAATTAAGCAATTGGTTCAACAGGAACAGAAAAGACTAGCATGGAATAGGAGATCTTATGCCCCAATGTTTGTTGGGAAAAAATCAGCGCCTTTATTTATAGGAAAGAAATCAGCACCTTATTTTGTTGGAAAGAAGTCTGCTCCTTATTTTGTCGGCAAAAGAGCCGTCCCTTACTTTGTCGGCAAAAGAGCCGTCCCTTACTTTGTTGGAAAGAAATCAGCTCCATACTTTGTCGGCAAAAAGGCCGCACCGTACTTTGTGGGAAAGAAATCTGCACCTTACTTTGTGGGCAAAAAGGCCGCTCCTTATTTTGTTGGCAAAAAAGCTGCACCTTATTTTGTTGGCAAAAAAGCTGCACCTTACTTTGTTGGCAAAAAAGCTGCCCCTTACTTTGTTGGCAAAAAGGCTGTTCCTTACTTTGTGGGCAAAAAGGCTGTTCCTTACTTTGTGGGAAAACGAGCTGTTCCTTACTTTGTGGGCAAAAAGGCCGCTCCAATGTTTGTGGGAAAGAAATCTGTTCCGATGTTTGTTGGGAAGAAATCAGCACCTATGTTTGTTGGCAAAAAGGCTGCCCCGATGTTCGTTGGCAAGCGGCGTTTAGCGGATATTCTCGACAACCTATCCGGTTCCAATATGCAAGAACTGTCTGTAAGTCCTTTAGCCCGCATCCCTTCCAAAGAAGATTCTTACCGCGCAATTCCCGTAAAACGGTCCTCTGATTACCCCCAAAATGCAGAAAATGAATTCTTGAAACGAAACATGTACCCTGCCCCCTACTTCATCGGCAAACGGTATGATATCCCCCGTTTCATTGGAAAAAGACAGCAGGAAACGTTGAAAGATTTGCTTAGCGCTTTTCACTATTACGAAGCTGCTAGACAGTATCGGCGATTAGTTCAGGCAGAAAAGCGTTTTGAGGCCCCTCTTTTTGTGGGTCGGAGAAGTTCCCCATCACAAGGACAAGGTTCTGAGCCGGATTCATAATACTGATAGTGTGGCTCTGCACTTTACCACTGATGGTTTCGTGAGGCGTTCTTACTGAGAGAATGATAATAAAGCGAATGCAAATTCGGCGTTGCAAAAGCGGCCTTATTTTGAGAGACAATTGATGCCGGTGCTCCTCCTCCCTTGTAAGGCGATGTACAAAATGTATTACACTTTATGTCGCAGTCTTACTCAAATACGAATTGCCGAATATCATTCTTCAGGGCGCTTTGAAATTACGTTCCTCATGATGTAAGGGCGTTCCAATTTATTTTTAAAAGTCTATTTTTGTACTGTTAATAGATATTGTTACGTGAGTGTGACCAACACATTTGTAAATTTGACCGTGAGTCGTGAGCAGTTTTACCAAAAATTTCTCCCCTGTCTGATATGTAAATAATACACCGCCAGCCCCCTCCCCATTCGGAAAACAGAAAGACTGCACTATGTATTCTGTTACAGATCGGCCAGACCCCAAGGCCTTTAGACCCTCTTCGGCTAACCTGGCTTCAGCCCTTATCCAGCGAAACTTAGACCTACATAGTTTTGAGGGGCCATCGGCAGGGGCTGAAAACAGCCAATGGGATTTCCAGGACACGGAACCACGTGACCCCCGCCTTCTGGCCGCTCCTCAGGCCTTTGGTTTCCTGGGAAAACCGGAAGGGGATGCCCCTTTGTCTAAGAGATATGCAGAGTTTCTCGGGAAACGAGTTTTTGACAAACGATTCTCCGAGTTTCTTGGCAAAAGAGACATGGCTACTTCTGACTTATTGAGGCAGAATATGGACAACCGCCTATCCGCTTTATTGAACAAGAGATTAAGATATAGAATTCCCGAGTTTGTGGGAAAGAGGGCTCGGTCCCAGCAATCTGGTTTCTATGAGTTTGTCGGGAAGTAAACCATCTACCACAAATGATCATTATTGCTCAAATATGGACAAAGGTAGCACGACGTGTAGGAAACCTTTGTCCTGTATAACGCCTTACACTATGGTATGTGAAATGAACAATATGTGAAGTAAATGTTACATCAAATTGTTGACTCAACCGTTATTTTACTAATGTACCAGAAAGATATTGCCCCTGTCGTCGGACGGTCTAAGATTATCCAGAGCATTTTCATGTCCCTTCATCTATCATTGATGCTATGACAGCATTATCGGAATCCCGACATGATATCCCTGGCGGTCCTTCCTATGTTTTGAACAATGTCACGACTCTTGCATATTGTGTAACATATCAATAAAATACGCGTGTCCAGCAGATGTCGTTGTTTTGCTTCTTTACCTCAGAGATGTAGCAACTACGTTAACGCAGACAGGTCTGTGCTCCAGGGAATTGGTGCTCAGGGAGACATGACACCCAATATTATTGTGAAATGGAACGGAAGTGTGTATGAAAACACCACACGCGGTAGCCTATGACATTGATGCATTTACAGGGAAGAGGGTAAACTGTTGGACATGGAGCAGCCCCCGTGGAGGAGACCATATCATACATCACACAACGCTGTCAGCAAAATGTGTTCATGTATTTTGGCATTGCCCTAAGTTATAGGCTCTGTAATGTCTATATGCACTTTCTGTTTTGTTTTTACAAAGTAGTAACAAATATTACACGTGTACATCAAATATTACATCCTCAGCAAGCATTAATTCTCGTTTCCTAATTAGGGATTACACGCGTCTGAACGGATATTTACTTAAAAGTCCACATGTAAATGTAGCAGTGAATAAACCTCTGGTGGACTCAAGGCACAGTGGGCGGACCGATAGTTATGGTAAAACGTAAAAACGATGTTACTGTTGATAGCCATTTTGGTCGGACCACGTAGGCTGTAAAACAAGTCTGTTTTAATAATTAACAAATTGATCTTTCGGTTGTTGATTGTCGGATGTGCCTTGACAGGGGTACTGTTGTGTGACAAAGGGACGAAAATATACACAGAAAACAACGTATCACAACACCCATTTTTTTTCATAGTATCAATATGTAGCATTAACCGCAAAAGAACTTACTATCTGGATAAACTGACCCCGAGCAATAATTAAAAGGCAAATGAATTTGATGCTGAGGTATCTTGTTCCATTCTTGATGGAGGGCTAGTTCCAACACATCAAGATATTTTATTTGAAGATCTCTCTGGCGCACCCTGCGACCCACCATCTGATTGAGATCTGGACGGGTCAGTTGCTTCCGCCTCTTGAGGTGAGAAATTGCCAACATTACGTGCATGGTGTGGCCTGGCATTGTCATCCATGAAGACTAGCCTTGTGTTCAGTGGATGGTCATCAAGATGTGGTACAACAACCCTGTCTAGGATGTCAGTGACGTACCGTTGTCCATCCCATCCAGATTCTGTCTGATCGTCACACGGTCAAGATGAAGGCCACGAAGCCATTAAGGAGAGACACCCACCTCCACCCCCATCCCCGCCATACGGTACATTGATCGAGCCAATCGATAGATGACCACCCACGTCTCTTGCAGTTTAAGAGGGGATTGGTTTGTGTTACAAAGCAAAGGCATACTTATGTTCATACGTATGATTATATATTTGTAGTGGAAGTGCCCAGTGCGATATTCAAGACTGGGTATCACTTTGTACTATGTTTACTGAATGTTAAATACACTAATTATTTGCTCGTCCTGATGTTCGCCTGTCAAATAGAGCGACACTCGCTATACATAGTATAGGTTCCACAACACTTCATTAGCAACGTCAATTACATAAGTGTTTCGAAATGCCAAACATGGTGTATGCGAAAGTAGAGCATCTGGTTAGATGCATTATTGCAGTAATTTCACTCTCGTTGACCAATCACAGTGCTGGATTCTATAACATCATAGTCTAACTATCTACATGTATCTAACAGTTGACGTTAAGTGCATTACACAAATGTGGCAGATGGCATCATGAGATAATAGGTATCTCACTGATGTGTACTCTCCTCTAAGTGACTCCAACATATTACTTAGACACATCGATTTTACTCCCATATAATTCTAATTTTAGGACATCCTTATGTTTATGTCTGTATAATGCCCTTTCCTGACCACAGTCCTTGCAAACGTCACCTACACCTACACATGAGAGTGACTTCCCTTTGACCTAGAACTTTTTACGCTGCACTCAGCAATATTCCAGCTATATGGCGGCGATCTGTACATAATCGAGTCTGGACCAGACAATCCAGTGATCAACAGCATGAGCATCGATCTACGCAATTGGGATACGATGACATTTATTAACAATGTCAGCGAGTCTGATCACCCGATCCCGTTCCTCGTCTCTTTCGACAAGCATGGGCTATAAACCTGTGTTAGAAGTAAACACTGTGGCCAAACCCATTGACACTCCTTAACACATTTATATTAAGTACTCGAAAGCCCAAACGATCCAGAACGATCCTGCAAGTGTATCAACTACCTGTAGACATGGGGAAATAAGCATGTCACAGCGTTCCGTGGGTGGTGCCTGGATCAAGGCAAGAACATGGGCTGGAGGCGTGACGGTCCAGATTAACATGATTGAATATTCAGCGACTCATACTTGTCGAAGTAGGCGTCTATAGGAAAGGATGGTCATCGCAGTGTACTTGCACGTCATGGTGTTCAATTTGCGAAGGTCGATGCTGATTACGTCAGTCACGGTATTGTCTCGCCCAGATTCCATTATTTGCAGACCGTCGTCACTAAGGTGAAACCTTGCTGTGTGCGACGTGAAGTATCTACAAACAAACAGAACGCTGTAAACTTTAGTTTTACAAACCGGGACTAGAATGTACTCAAACATTCACATGATAAAATTACATTCATATCACACACGTCACCAAATTGCAAAATGCATGTTCGGTGATCTGAAAGCGCAAGACCCTAAATCTAAACCGTTGTTTTGTTCGGGTAATCATAACAAATGACTGAAACCTAAAACCTATATAAGTATCGGCATGGTCAAAATCGTTATGGGTGACCGCATGTTATGTTGACAAATGCCACTGTGGAAACTACGCGCGCTCAAAAGCACGTCTCCCTAATTTCATGTGTGGATCTTTTTATGTAGCTTCTCACAAGATTATCGAAACATGTGTGGTGCAAAGGTTATATCCACATTTCCGTACAAACCAGCCCAAAGAGGTCACCAATACCCTGGCAGTTGACAACTTCTCGTACTTCTGACAACATAATGTAAGACACACACAGTTCATTATATAACCCACACTCTCACAGAGGCAGCCTCTGTGTGTCTACCTCCGTCTGTGTGGTATCTGTATCGGGCGGTGGGGTAGCCTAGTGGTTTAAAGCGTTCGCTCGTCACGCCGAAGACCCGGGTTCGATTCCCCACATGGGTACAACGTGTGAAGCCCATTTCTGGTGTCCCCGCCGTGATATTGCTGGAATATTGCTAAAAAGCGGCGAAAAAACCATACTCAGTCACTCACTCATTGGTATCTGTATCTGTTCCGGTAATGCCTCAATTACAGAGTTCATAACATCCCTATGTATAGTCCACAGGGTCCAAATGAGGTAATTGAATTATCGTTGGGAAGGGGTACCAAACAACCACGACTAGTGGAAACGCCCAGCTCTGGTACCAATGGTACCAAGACTGCAGGAATTTCCAGTGAGCCAGGGTACTGTGACATTCACAAATCGAAACATGAATATTGCAGGCATGATCGGTAATGAACACTATAGTAACAATTATGATACATATGTGTTAAAGGATGCGAGTGTAACAAGGTCTGCATGACAAAGAAACCCATCTGATATCATCTATCAACTGAGACCCGATTGTACCACTTTGTAAAGTCCCGGGGTTCGAATAACCAGTCGAATAACTGAGTCAGGCAACGAGCAGAGAGAAGTCAGCGACTTCAGCGAAGTCAGTACACTCAAACCACCAGTATTGTAGTTATAAAGATAATATCGATAGCTGGTGGATGTTGGCAACTGACTAAATACAATCCATAGACTTTACCAATCAGCTACATATGCCTGATTCTCTGATATTTATACTGGTATCTGCTGACCGTGTTTTTATATCAACTCATTTAATGTCACAGAAGGAATGCCCAAATGCACAAGTAAACCTAAATACCCCAGATAATTAACCGAATCTCAAAACTGGATCTCGATATTAATTTCACCATTATTAGGATGAGCAAATTCAGTTCGTGTCGTATGTCTTCGCGAACAATCTGAAACAGCATTATTGTTGAGAATAATATCTGCATGATGTTTACAGGTAGATTAGAAACACTAAACCCGGCAGGGAATCTACGATGTCTACGATTGTTTCTGCCAGGCAGTTATCAGAGAGGCTTACCCGGCTTACACAGACATTTGCTTACTGATATGCCTGACTGTCTGATATTTATAGCGGTATCGGCTGACAGTAATTTACCTATCTGCGCATAATATGTCGCAGAAGCAATGCTGCACCAAAATACTCCATAGAATGTAACAAGTCTCCTAATGGGATCCTGGTACTCGATGTCAAGTCGGCCATGAATAGGGACAACATACACGGTTTGTGATGTACGCTTTTTGTGACCAAGCTGAAATAGCATTCTTGATGGCAAGGGGCGATGGGTAGCCTAGTGGTTAAAGCGTTCGCTCGTCACGCCGAAGACCCGGGTTCGATTCCCCTCATGGGTACAATGTGTGAAACCCATTTCTGGTGTCCCCCGCCGCGATATTGCTGGAATATTGCTAAAGCGGCGTAAAACCATACTCACTCACTCACTTGATGGCAATGATATACAGACAGATTAGAAACATTGGACCCCGCAGGGGAGTCTACGATATGGACTGGTTTTGCTTGGCGGTTATCAGCGAGGCTTACCCGGCTTACACAGACATTAGCGTGCTGTAGCTCGATGTTAATACATTAACAGAACTGACACTGGGGGATTTGGGAAGAGGGTTTTATCGTTGAAGGTCGAATGTCGAGCATGTGGGAATCTCGGACTATGTTGATGTGTTAGTATTTCATTGTAAAAGACAAAAAAACGGAAATGCTTCATTACAGCCTTGTTTCTTGCATTCATGTTTCCCGTGTACGTGTGTGTTGAATATTTGACATTAGTTAATGTGTTGTCAATGTTTACTTCATACACACAATATAGATTTTATGGGGCTTGTTGTGAAACATAAGACGACAATAATCCAACGGTGAGTGTGGTTTAACGGCCATTTGGAGAGTTTCGAGTTATATCACTGTATGTCAGCTCACTGAAAGAGGACAGTACTCAAGCATC